GAGACAAGTGGGAGACAAATGGGAGACAAGTATAAAATCATGCGGCCAGAGCACTGAGAGCATCCAGAGCTTACTGGGGGACAAGTGGGAGACAAGTGGGAGACAAGGGTGAAATCATGCGGCCAGGAACACAAGCCCGGAGACAAACTCAAAATCATCCGGCCCGAGCATGCGCCCCATTAAAAGGAGGAAGAACCCCTCACAGGTAAACCTGTTTGGGGAATTTTAGAATATCCCAAAAGCGCCCATACCAAAAAGAGACATAAAGCTAGGCAAGCATGGAACCCATCTGGAAAAAACAAAGCCAAAAAAATGACTATGAAACTTACGAAACACGAGGACATCTAGAAAACAACAAAAAATTGAATTACACCACCGTAGACCCCAAACAGGTTAGACAACAACGAAGCATTCCCAAGTCCACTTTTTGAGACATCATCAAGAAGGGAGACAAGACGGACAGAATGACAAACAAGAACGGAGACAAGAAGGGAGACAAAAGGAAACAGAGGGAGACAAAACGGACACAATGACCACTGAGAAGGGAGACAAGACCGGAGAAAAAGGGAGACAGAAGGGAGACAAGACGGACACAATGAACCCAATGACCAACAAGAAGCGGAACAAGAAGGAAAAAAAGGGAACAGAAGGGAGACAAGACGGAGACAGTGACCAACAAGAACAGAGACAAGACCGGAGACAAAGGGAGACAGAAGGGAGACAAGGCGGACACAATGACCCACCAGGACGGGAGACAAAAAGGAAGCAAAAAAGAAAGGAGACAAGACGGACACAGTGACCAACAAGAAGGAGGACAAGACCGGAGACAAAGGGAGACAAGACGGGAGACAAGGCGGACACAATGACCAACAGGGGGACAAGAAGGGAGACAAAGGAAACAGAACGGAGACAAGACGGACACAGTGACCAACAACAATTGGGGACAAGACCAGAGACAATGACCAACAAGAAGGGAGACAAGAAGGAAGACAAAGGGAAACACAAGGGAGACAAGACAGACGCAGTGACCACCAAAAAGGGAGACAAGACCGGAGACAGAAGGAAGACAAGGCGGACACAAAGACCAGCAAGAAGGGAGAAAAGAAGGGAGACAAAAAGGGAGACAAAAGATAACAGAAGGGAGACAAGACGGACACAGATACAAGACCGGAGACAAAGAAAGAATGAAGGGAGACAACGGAAAAGGGCAGACACCAGCAGTGACAGACCTGGGAGACAAATGACAGACCTGGGAGACAAATGAATAGAAATGTTGCATGGCCAGCGGAAAAGGGCGGACACCAGCAGTAACACACCTGGGAGACAAATGAATAGAAATGCTGCATGGCCAGTGGAAAGGGGCGGACACCACCAGTGACAGACTTGGGAAACAATTGAATAGAAATGCCGCATGGCCAGCGGAAAAGGGCGGACACCAGCAGCAACACACCTGGGAGACAAATGACTAGAAATGCTACATGGCCAGCGGAAAAGGGCGGACACCAGCAGTGACACAAAGGGGGCGGACACATCTTAAGAAAGAATTGAGAACCCCTAACAGTAAACTGCTTGGGGAATGAATAGAAATGCTACATGACACCAGTTACAGACCTGGGAGACAAATGAATAGAAATGCTACATGGGCAGCGGAAACTCTTGTGGGTCACTCTTGTAGGAAGCTCTTGCGGGGCACTATTGTAGGACACTCTTGTGGGTCACTCGTGTAGGAAACTCTTGTGGGACACTCTTACGGGACACTCTTGTGGGACACTCTTATAGGACACTCTTGTGGGTCACTCGTGTAGGAAACTCTTGTGGGACACTCTTACGGGACACTCTTGTGGGACACTCTTGTAGGACACTCTTGTAGGACACTCTTCTACGACGCTCTTGTGGGACACTCTTGTGGGACACTCTTGTGACACTCTTGTAGGAAACTCGTCACTCTTGTAGGACACTTGTGGGGCGCTCCTATAGGACGCTCTTGTGGGACACTCTGACCCTGTATCACGATGACCTGGAGAGAAGGAATCGAGAGTATTACCACGAAGTCTTGGACATCTGCACTCTCAATGGAACGAAGCTCAACTTTGATGAGACTAGCTGGGACTTGTTCGTATGGATGGTCTCCAAGGAAGTGATCGATGCCTCAGCATTGTTGCCGAGCCGTACAAAGCGATTGGCAAGAGCAAGTGTGTTGACCGGGGACACATTCACCACGCCAATGATTGTCTCTTCTGGGGCTGGCGCTGGATCTTTGTCCGCTGCCGCATACTCTCTGGAGCCATTTGTCCCTTGCGTTCTAGGAAGTATGGCATCCATGATCGCCCTACAATAATGATCGAATGCAGTGACATGACACCCGGTGGGGTTGAGTTGACAGAACCTAGGACAATGCCTCTGAGTTCTATGGAGAGGATGGCTGTCGTCATGTGCATGGATTCTTCGCTTGGAATGATGCACAACGAGTTGGTCAGGTCGTATAGACAATTGGGTGGTCCTGATAGGGTTGCGTTGCTCATGTCCCAGCTCACAATGCAGAAGGCGTGGGATGAAAGGACAAGAAGCGATCTTGCAGGAACGAAAGCAAAGATTCCTGACTACGTGGGTGTGGTTGGAAAGATGATGGAGTATCTCTGCAACCATGTTCAATTGAAGGAAGACATAGATCGGCTCATGTTGTGGATTGCCCCATGGTCAATACCAGTCGAGGGATACAGCAGTGAATCATCCTCCATCCGAGCGAGTAATTATCAGGGGTACTCTTGTGGGACACTCTTGTAGGCCACTCTTGTGGGTGGGGCACTCTTGTAGGACACTCTTGTGGGACACTCTTATAGGACACTCTTGTGGGTCACTCTTATGGGACACTCTTGTCGGACACTCTTGTTGGACACTCTTGCGAGACACTTTTGTAGGACACTCTTGTGGGTCACTCTTGCAGGACACTCTTGTGGGACACTCTTCTGCAACACTTTACGGGACACTCTTGTGGGACACTTGTTGTCGGACACTCTTGTGGGACACTCTTGTGAGAAACTCTTGTAGGACACTCTTGTGGGACACTTTGTGGAACACCCTTACGGGGCACTCCCACCAAGTGGCACTGCGACATCACGAATGTAATTTCGCCACACAGTCCGCCACCCACTAGAAGCAAACATATCACGCAATACCACCAATCATCCCGCTCACCAGCGACACGCCGCGTTTACACCAGCATGTTTCGCTCTCCCCAGTGGTACGTCACCACGCAAACGCACTTCCCACCAAGGCCGCGCAAATCCGCATGGCACTGCGACATCACGAACGTAATTTCGCCACACGGTCTGCCCACACACTAGAAGCAAACATATCACACGATACCACCAATCATCCCGCTCACCAGCGACACGCCGGCACAGGCGAGGCTTCGAGTCACGCTTCGAGTCTGCAAAACAAGCGTTTCGTACGAGGCTTCCTCCAAAAGTCACGCTTGGAATCTACAAGACGAGCATTTCGTACGAGATTTCCTCCAAAAGTCACGCGTCAAGTCTCCAAAACGAGCGTTTCGTACGAGACTTCCTCAACTAGACGACGGTTGACCCGAGAGCGAGACATGTGATTGTCCAGCACTGTCGAAAAGATGTATAGAAAGAGAGAAAGAGAGAGTGGACGTGAAGGAGTGACTGTGTGGATGTGCAGGTGCGATGTGGGGAGGTAGATTCGTTGATGTGAGCGTGCGAAGATGTAAATGTACAAAGGCGAGAGAATGATATGTAGAAAGAAAGAAAGACAGGACAGAAGTCCAGGAGCGACAGCGTGGATGTACAGATGTGATATAGATGCGCAGATGTGTGGGTGTGGTGAGGTGGAGAGGTAGATGTGGGGATGCGAGCGTGTCAAGATGTAAATGTAGAGAGGTGAAGGGATGTAGACGGAGATGCGTCGACGCAACGGCAGCGCAACGTCAACCTTAGCTGTGCAAGTTCAATGCTGAAGAAGTTCAAACAGAACTGAAGAACGTACATTTCACACTGAAGTTGCCACCAACACTGCGACCTGAGAGCAAACGACGTTACGATCATGACAAGTGACTCGTGCGTTCCAACTGCACATCGTTTGTCATGCAGGTGAAGTAGACACATATTAACGTCACGTCCCTTTTTGTGGCAGCCGCGGATCCCGTCGTTTGAGCGATGATGTCGTAGGTTCGTCCCGAACAGTCTCGACGGACGACCCGCGACATGAATTAGCCTCGGTGTGTTGTGCTGAAGTCTCTCTGCCATTCCGCGCGCAAACCTTCCAGGTGCCACAACGCTTCCAAGACATAGGGTCGATTGCGCCAAGGACGCAACGCTGGTCTTTTTGAAGCAGCAACTGCACGGCTTCCAGCGCGGAATGCTCGTAAGCGACAACGAGCCAACAGGCAAAACGACCACGAAGCCATTCCGCTCCCCTGTTCATGGTATTGTTGCGGAACTCCTCCCATCGCAAACCCTGTGACCAGCGCGGTAACTGGTCCATTCTCCCGGACAATCCCTTCAAACAATGGAACAGTCACCGCACTACTATGGCGCGCGTCTAGGGTCCGCGACTCGAACCAAAAGCTGGTTCCGCAAGCATGTTCTATACTCCAGACACTCCAACCACGGAGGTCATCCTCCATCCATCCTCCGAC